AATTTATAATGTAAAATAGAGAAGCTGGAAGGAGGGACGAAGAGAACGCAAGAGCTGCTTGAACTGTTGGCTCTGTTTTCTTGTCCCCATTCTGAAGATTTTGCTTTTAGATTCTTTTTCGTTGGTAGAACACACACCTTCCAGTGTCAGGTTCCTCTTCTGGAGGCCTTGCATATCTAAGCAGGTTGTCGGTTGCTTCCACACACGGGTGACAACTCGGCAGGATTTTCCCTTTTGCCTCTTCTCCTGGTTTCAATTGGCATTAAAGTGTGAGTTGATACAAAGTGGTTTCCAGCTCATTTTTCAGATAAGAAACATGAGACCAGCATGTGTAGGTATATATTCAACAACCAGCTCTCGGGGTGGGGGTGGGGGATGCAGGAAGCTCTGATTTGTGGTGTTTGCTGGTGTCCGTGGTGTAAGTGTTCCTGCTGCAGCTGACTGCAAGCTGTCGACAGACGTCACTGACCACCGAGGTGGAACGAGATGCACAGTAGTAGCAAACCATTATACAGGGTCTGGCACAAATAACACTCCTTTTTTTTTTTAATTACAAACTCTTTTATTACAAAATCGTTAACATGTCATTCTGGAACACAATAATATCACACTCAAGCATACCATATGACATTGTAGGGTGAACTGTTCAAATTAAAACTGTAAGTTATTACACCCATATTATCACCCTACCGACCACACTCAGAAGGAAGCAGGCCTCGCTTCTGCTGGACCCTGCATAATCCGTCCACCAGACCCCCGCAAAAAACTTAACTCCAAAGCAGAGACAATGGTAAAATGCAGTAAAATCCTTTGGAAGTGATGAATTTTGAGTATTATGACATTTTTTCAATATAATGTATTTAATGGTACATTTTTGTAGTTTAATTTGTAACAATGGCCACGTCCAACAGCTGGCCCTGCAGGTTCCCGGAAGCCTGACCGTTGGTCCTGGCGCACCGACTGGGACTCGGGGAAGCCACTGTCCTGCTACTGCCCACTGAGTCAGCTGTGGCAGAACCTGGATTAATACAAACTCTTTCTAAAAACCAAATTTCTCTAGAAAGATTTACTTATTAATGTTTCTTTTTATTTCTTTATTTATTTTACTACATCCTCTACCAGCCTTTGAAAGGGCCTAGGATCAGTACAGGCTGTATTATCTACTAAGACAACAGAGTCAGAAAATCTGAATGTGATTGTAACCAAAGATGGGAGAGTGGAATGCAGATTGGATTTGGGGCCATAAGCAAATCCTGGCTTTGAGTCTTGCTTGGCTCTATTGCTCACCAGTGGCGTAATCTTAAGCAAGTCACTTACTTAATTCTCTGGCTTAAGTTTTCTAGTCGGTAGGATGAAAAATTGGGCCACGTGAGCATATATTATCTCATCTAGGTCTAAAATATCATGATTCACTTTTTGGATCCATCCGTTCAACAAATATCTGCTTAGTACCAATTATATGCACATCTGTTATTGACTCTATTTCTGGCAGAATTAAATACAAATGTAAGAATAATAACTATTATTATAATGTCTCACATTTATGAAGAGCCTTCTAATTTACCAAAGAGAAAATACAGTGTGAGCCTCTGAGGTCCTATGGCTTTAGGAGATCAGATGTTAGAGAAAGAAGGACCTATTGTAAGAGAACAAACACATCTTCCTCCTAGGAAATGCAAGAGGCCATAACCAGGTAGTAATAAGGCATGAAAAACAAGGATTTTTTTTTTTTGCCCTGTTTATCAGCTGCTTAACATTGTCTTCAAAACCAAAATCTTAGAAATTCTTAAGACATATTAAATGAGGAGAAAATATCACATATCCAATTTAATAGCTTGCTTTTCTTTACCTAATATTTTAGTACAATATATTTTTTATAACATTATCAGTAGTCATATTAATCGCTATGTTTTATCTTTTCAGTGGACAGAAACTTTTCTTGAATTGTTTACATTGCTGACTTTTTATTATTTTATAAAACACTGTGATAAATAACTTCTTTATATAAAAATTGTACATGGGACACATAGTTTCCAACTATAATATTTAAGTTGTAGTAAAACAATTTTAGCGAATCATATACTTTTGACCTTTAGTTTGATTCTGCCAATATTCCTTTGTATTTGCCTAGATTTTATTCTGTTTCTAATGGAACAGTTTGTCTGAATCTTTCAACATGACATATTTGAAATGGAAATAGTGTCAATGTTTTCATATTATTTCTTTTTTTAAGATTTTATTTATTTATTTTTAGAGAGAGGGGAAAGGAGGGAGAGAGGAAGAGAAACATCAATGTGTGATTGACTCTTGAGTACCCCTAACTGGAGACCTGGCCTGCACCCCAGGCATGTGCCCTGACTGGGTATTGCACCGCTGACCCTTTGGTTCACAGGTCAGCACTCAATCCACTGAGTCACACCAGTCAGGGCTGTTTTCATATTATTTCAAATAGACATATGTTAAAGTGTATGGTGAATAATTTTTTCTTTCACTTTCTATGGATAGTACAAGGTTTATTAGTTTAGAAAGTATTTGATAAATGTTCAAAAAGTAAGAAGATTCAGGCTAGTTTAGGATAAGCAGAACTATCCAGAAGGACGTGAAGAAAAAAAGACTTCTCCAATTATGATAGCACCTTTCATTTCATTAGGAGAGATGGCAGCTTAGCAGCTCAGCGATTCTGACTGTTAAATGAAAGCCAGGAAATGAAAAATGTTGCTTTGATTCACCTACATGGGAAACCATGACTTTAAAACTTGTTTGATGAAATGTTAATGAGATCTACTACATTGACCCAACTCTCACTTTTATGAATTAGATAGGTCAATTAAAATAAGAATAGTTTTACCTTTCTTTAACATCTTTGAGTCAAAATCTGCTTACAAGGGAAGTGCTATAACTACCCTGGTTGTTCAAATATTAATGGCTTCCATTAAAGGGGGCTGGAGGTTTGCAGCAACAAGACTGAGAAATTAGATGGCATGATTAGTTTCTCGATTCTGCCCCCAGGAAAAAAACCTCTTACTGGAAGAGCTTCTTCCAGTATGTTTTAATACCACAGATTTTTTTTTTTCCGAACCAGTTAGAGAGTAAGATTGTTGACTTCAAACATTCTTTGAAAGTGGTTGTTATTAAAACATCAGTGTAACAAGTTCGCATAATTTAAAAAATATTTTATTAGTGCCATAGAGGTCATTACCCTCAGGCTTCTTGGGAACCTAATTTCAGTTTCTAAATTCATTTTGTTCATTATTAGAGTCAACAATAGGTGAAAGCAAATTATAGCTACATATTGTGTATGATTAGGCTTGTACGTTAAGTATGGGGACTTTATTAAGTGTTTTATATCTTGAATATGCAATTTTTTACAAAGATTACATATTCAATCCAATTATAATTATAAATTTTTATCTTCTGGGAGAAATATGGCTGGAAAGCTTTTTAAATTTGCTACAACCAATATTTTCATATTAGGCCAAATTGGGTTGTGATAAGCAGGTGGTTAATAGGTTTTTACACATTTTGTGTTTTAGGAGGTTGTAATGGTTTGGTATTTTAAAGCACCAAAATGTAGGCATGATATCTGCATAACTGCGTATTTCCTTACACATCCAGTGATCTGAGTGAAAGGAGTGTTTATGTATTTCATATGTTTACTTAGACTTCAGGGCTGAGAACTTGGACCATGCTGGGTCAAGGGTGACGCCAAGTCACGCGCCGGCACTGGCCAAGAGCATCATAGTGCCGAGCAGGGTCAGAGTTTAGGGGAAGCCAATGAGGGGCCCGCCTTGGTTGTAAAACTTATCGGTGCCAAAAAAACCCTTCAGTAATCAAGATAAATAGTATTTTAATATTCTGTTTGAAAAGAATCAATACTAATGTCAAAAAATCCATTTTGAAAAAAATGTCAAAATTTTAGAAAAAAGATGAGATTGTACCCTGCATTTCCACCGGACTCACCTCATTCTCTCCTCCTGAACTTGGTTGACTTTCAAGCCTGGCAGGAGGCAGGAGTTGCATTATCTTATCTAACACTAGTGATAATAATCCTTGCTCCCCTGATTAAGAGGTTCAAATCAGCTAAAAATACAAGGGGAAGCCCACTGTAAATACAATTTGCATGTTTATGTACAAGTTAAGGAAATCATCATACAATTTTAAGCCATTATTATTATCAGCCTGGATGAACACTAAGCAAACATCAGATTTGAAGAACCCTGGAAAGCTTTGTGTTAATCGAGTCTGAAGCCTAACTCTTGAGTTTAGGTATCAGGGAGCTATAGGGGCAGGGACCTAAAGATGGTTGTAGAATCGTCCCTCTCTTCCTTTTCTCTTTTATTGTTCTTGGATGCGAAGGTTACTGGCTTTGTAAGAGAGAGCAGAGGGAACAAGAAACCCATTTCGTTGATTTTAAATTTCCCTGCAAAGTGCCTGTGGACAGCCGAGGTCTCCCCTTTGCTCCGGCTACTCCACCCACCAGTGACGCCTCCCCGCTTCTCCTGCCTGCCTAGGTGCGCCCACCTTTTAGTCACGCCCGACCTCGCTAAGGCTCTCCTAGGTTCTCGGCCTGAAATGTGTTCTCCGTCCTCTGCCTTCCCATAGCGAGTAAACTGTCACCACCGCATATTTGGTGATTAATCACAGAGCCTTTGTTGTCTTGAGGCTTTAATCCTCCATTGAATTTACCTTCCAGACCATAGTTTTAGAAATACAAATTGGTTCTCCAGTTAAATAGCAAATCTCTTCAGTAACAACACTGCCTGCCCCCGCCCCGCCTCCACCCCTGCCATTAGACTGTTAATTTCAGGGTAAACAGAGATTATTGGGTCTATTTTATTTAAGTGGCATCCAAGGTGCTTAGCAAAAGGGCCTTTACATACATTTTTTTTTTTGAGTGAATAAATTACTATCTTGCATGTAAAAAGGCTAGGGAAATATTTACTCTTCGGAATCATTTGTGAACTGTTATTGTTCTCATCCTAGGCCTAGAGGGAGTGCCCCGCGCCATGTGGAAGGCGGCTGTTTTGTGGGTCCTGCTGATGCTCTGCCCTGGGGGCAGTGGGCTGTTCCGCTACTTGAACAGAAATATCCGGGCGCCGCCTCAGGGAGACGCAGGGCCGCCGTTACTTCTGACTCCCTATATCGAAGCTGGGAATGTCAAGGAAGGTAAGTCTAATCAGAAAACCAGTAGTATACTTTGAGGAGTTGTTGTTTTACTAAGCAATTATCCTGCAGGATCCAAAAGATATTCTGATACTTTTTACTCACCATTTTTACTTCAAATACTAATGATTTGATGTCATATTATCAGAGTTACGAGCTACAATAAGTTTCCCGGGGCCAGTCTACCTAGTGGTTGGGTTCCTGAACTTCTGTCTATAAAACTAGCACAGTGCCTGTCTACCACTAAGCACTCAACAAGGTTAACACCAACCTTAGAACTGACTAGGTGTCAGTTACAGGTTCCAAGTATTCCATTGATATATAAATTCATTTAAATACTTCAGAAACCCCAGGAACACACAAGAAACTAAGCAGAAATAGATTAAGCTCCTTTTCAGAATCACACAGACAAAGCTGGTAGATACGGGGTTCACAGCTGGGGAGCCTCCCGGAAGAACCCACGTTCGCAGCCACTGTGCTGCGCCCCCTCGCCTGGCAGGTCACCACCCAGACAGCCTAGGCCTCGGTTTCCTCATTAGTAAGATGGAAATGTAACAACATCCCCAAGTGGCAGGGATATGATAAGAATCAGCTGAGAAAATGCATGAGGAAACCCTTAATATCCTATAAACTGCTTTCTAAATATTGTTTGCAAATGGGATTTTCGATTGTTATTATTAATAAGAAAAAAATGTCATTTGGTGTTATCAGAGACTAAGTTTTATGCCCAGACTCGGCTCTTACTGCTTAGGTAAATCACTGTGCAGATAAGTTAATCTTCCTGGATCTCAGTGGGCTCCCGCACTGTAAAAGCGTGTATGGGCAGCTGTTCTGAGGAGCTGCTATTGAAGGAAGCGGAGCAGTGGGTAGTGGGTAGAGGGAGCTGCGGGGTCAGGAAGAGGCTTTGAGAAATGGTCTGGCAGAGGGGGAGGCTGATTGGGGTGGGGGCAACTCTTGCTGGAGCCCTGTCTTTAAGTAGCCGAGAGACCTGGCATCTGGTAAGTAGATGCCATCATAGGTTTTGGTGTTGGCTCCGGGGGACCAAAATTTATCCCTTGTCACAGAAGGGTGGGCAGAGTTAATGTCTCTCAGGCTGGTGAGTTGGTAGATGTGATGGGAGTGTGGAAGTGATACTGGAAATTTTAGGGAAATGTTTTTTTTACAAATTAAAAAAAAAATCTATCTACTCCATAGGGAAAGTTCAAATGAAGCAACTTTCCATCATTTGAAATGGTTCACCTAACCAATAGGATGTCAATGTTGTTTTTGTTGTTTGGTTTAAAACCAAAATATTATTGCATCCTAAGGGTGTGTTTGAGTCTTGTTTATATGTCTTTTCTGAAATACACATTGGTTCCATGTGTCACCATTTCTTTTCTCAGAAAAAATGAAAAACTTTGATAATGTAGGTAGTATAAGTTACTGTATATTTGATAATATAGTCAGATAATGTAGTCAGTCTGTTTTTTAAAGGACTCATTTTTACTTTCTATAGAAAAATCATGAATAGATGGTAGCCTACTGGAAAAAGCTCGTATCGCTAGACATATATGAAAAGGCAAAATATCATTAATCCAAATCTCCCAAGTTAGGTCCTATGCATTTATTTTGGCCTCTTTGGTAAGTGGATACCAACAACTTAGACATATTCGTTAACAAAAAATCAAAGCAAATAATTTAGTTTAGAATTGAGAAGGAATTAAAAATTCATAATCAGCTCTACCAATTTACTGATGAGACTTGATTTGTCCAAGGGGCTGCAGGTAATATTAGCAGGGATGTGTTTAGGACCCACATTTTCCAACATCTGCTCTATGATCTACCTGCTGTAATTTCTATTTCTTTAAGAAACTTATGGTCTTCCAGAGTGTGACCACATATACACATGCGCAAAACAATTTAAGAGGAAGGCAGTACGCATTAGAATGCTAAAAGATTGCATTTGAGGTGGGCATGCTGGAAATTTTAAGAAGGAAGCTAACTTGTTGGTTGGCATGGACCAGGGAGAAAATAGTAATAGTTGTAAGTAAATATAACAAGTAACGACCATTTAAAAAATTAAATCTCTAGTACCTAGCATAGTGCCTCTAGGTAATCAGCACTTGATAAATATGTATAGAATTTCAATTTTAGACCTCAATATGTGCCAGGCATTGTGCTTTACACACACATTAGTTCATTTCATCCCCAGAGCAACCCTAATGAAGAAAGCATAATTAATGTTCCCATTTCTCAGATGAGAAAAATGAGGCCCAGAGAAAGTCAGTATCTTACCCAGGGCTATTTGAAGCTACTAAGTGGCAGAGCTGGAATTAAAACCCATCTCTGCTGACTCCAGAGCCCGAGGTATGAACCACTGTGCTATGTGACCCGTTCCAGACTTGAGGGCATTGGGCAACTTTTAGGTAAATAGAAAAGGGCTTGTGCATCCTGGGGAAAACTGTTTAAACAAAGGCATTGTGGGAAAGTGGCCAACATGTGTCTGTATCAGATATCTGGTGGGATCAAGAGAGAAGAATGTAGAGAAATCCACCCAAGATCATCCACAGCCCCCTCGTTCCTGTGTTTCTTGACTATGATCCTTTCAGTTACGGTCATCAGCAGAAGCAAAGAAAGATTTTGAGGAACACAGGTTCATCTTCAGTCCTTCTCTGCCAGCCCTGATGGACCACCATCAGATGAGTGACAATATTTAAAACATTAAATCTGATGTACTCTCACTTTCTAATGTTCTGTTACACTGTCAAAATCTTCCATTGCAATTTTAAGTGGCTGATCCAAAATCTGGTACATCTGGGTATTCATGTGCAGCCCTCATAACATAAGTAAGGATAATTTTATCCGTCTACTCTATTGAAAGTTCAGGAAACTCTGGACAGCTGGTCAGTTCATTCCCCTAAATCTCTTTTGTTTACTGAGTCTGTCAAAATCTTAGGAACACGCGTCGGAAGACTGAAACAGAACATTTTTGAAATGAACAGTCATTCACAAAGAGACAAGGGATATTTTCATTTTTTTATCCTCAATTAGCTGGCTTAGTTTCACGTAATTGTGATTGCATGTTTACTTTCTCTCTAGCTAGAACACATCCTTATTCTCTAAAACAAAATGAATTGAGGAGGCAAATTTTAGCATGTTTACAAATACTGCATTTCCACAAATGTTAAAGAATATGTTGCTATTAGGCCGTAATTTATTATTACCTAGGATCTGGCCATGTCTTGTCTGTACTGACCATGGCCTAGAGTGTTGGTGAATGTGAGGTGCGCCCTAATCAGCTGGGTTGTGCCCTTCTTCAGTCATGCTAAGATCTTTTTGATCTTAGTAACATTACCAACTCTCTGAACTGCAGTAAACAGCAAGGAGGAAGTGAAATTGCCTCTAAGAAACCTTCTTCCTTTCTTTAATGGGTGTTTTAAACATTTGTATTGTGACTCATGGTTCCAGGAAGAAAAAACTTCTGCATCTTGGGGGTTTATTTTCCACATTCCATTAATAGGCTCTGGAAGGATGAACTGAAGACTTGAAAATATTTTAAAAAATCATTTAAGTTGAAAGAACTTTTAATTATTTTACTGTGGTTCAGCTAAAGGAAATTTAATATTTGAAACAGGGGGAGTGACTTTTTTGTGGGCCAGAGAAAAGTTTTCTCTAAATTTCTTAAGATTGTCATAAGGCCTGCTTGCCTTAAAAGGTTTTTGTAGAAATAAGCTAATTCCAGTGCATTGTCAGGGTGGCCTCTTTTGAGTTCATTCATCCATTCATTTATTAACAGTATGTATTGGCTGTCTTAAGTGTGTGAGTCAGCATGATATGTCTCCGGGGGCACAAAGATAAATTAGACGAATTCCTGGTTTTCAATAGCCGCGGACCTAGAAAGCGAGGTAGGAAATGTACCAGAGGAAGTACAGGTAGCAGAGAAAAACTTGGGATCCTCAGAAAGGGAGGGCTCGGAGGGGGCGGGGACACCTGAGTCATTTTCAGAGCAGGCCCGCGACCTGTGAGGGGCTGGGATCAGAGAGATAGATTGATCCAATCTCCCCGCTCCCGCATTCCATTCCCCCCAGCTCCTTTCTCTTATGTGTTTTCTCTCCTCCCCTTCTACTTTGACCTTTCTCATTTTTCTCTGTCTTCTTTCACGAACCCTCTCCTGCTCACTCTCCCCTCTGTGAATCACATCTCACTCACTCCCAACCCCCCCGTCTTCAACTCTCTGCCCTCCTTTGTTTGGAGAGTTTGCGGGGGGGGGGGGGGGTTTCTGATTTTGAGACGATTAAGTCTTGTGAAAAACATTTCAAAGGTGTTTTTTAGGGACAAACTTGCAGATATAAAAGAAGTACATCCTGGGGATGTAAGGGACAGCAAGGTGACTATAGTTAATAATACTGTATTGCAGATTTGACAGCTGCTAAGAGGGTAGACCTTAAAAGTTCTCATCACAAGGAAAAAATGTGTAACTGTGTGGTGACCAAGCTACACTTACTGTGATGAGCATGTTGCAATACATACGTATGTCGAATCATTAGGTTGTGCATCTAATATCATGTTATAGGTTGATTATATCTCAATTTTTAAAATGACCTCAAAACAAGCGTTTTAAAGGCTGCCCGAACCTGGAGGACGATCCTTCTCTGGACCAAGTGAGGTGGAAGCAAAGAAGGGGAGAGGGAAGGGGAGAGGGCCGGTGGGAAGGGTGCGGGATGGGACAGGGCTCCTGCTAAACATCTGTCTCCCTTTTCTTTTTCTCCAATCCTTCTCTCTCCTTCCTTTATCTCTGCCTTTTTTCTAGTGGTGACGTAGATCCCATGGGAAGAGAAGGGGCAGAGCTGGTGCGGTTGGGTTAAGCAATCATCGCCTGGGGACTGGGCCGAGCCAGAGGAAGGCGAAGTCTTCTAGACTGCGCTTGGGGTGGCCTGGGCCGATGACCATCGTCCCTTCCTTTGCTTGAGCCCTTATTTTCTGTCCAGCTCTGTGGGAAGGGTTCATCTGCATGTTTTCATTTGATCCTCACAGAAAGCCTGGGATGGGGAGATGGGCATCCACATTTGTCATAAAAGGAAAGGAGAGGCTCAGAGAGGTGCAGTGACTTGCTAGAAAGCCGAGTCAGGACTGCAACCTGAGTCTGTCCCGCTCGGAAGCCCATACTCTCCCTATCAAGCTACCCTAGAAGGATCCCCTGGACACTGCCTGTTGACACCTTTCCTGTGTCCCCCACCATCGCCTCTGTCCCAGGTGCCCCTGTTCCCATTCAGCGGATGCATTTCAAAGATAAGACCAATGCTCCCTGCAAACTGGCTTCTTTTCTGCAGTTTTTACAAGCATGGACTTAACCTCATCCACCCTTCCTAGGTGAGAAACTAGAACACAGAGAAGACAAATCTCTGCCTAAGAAAAGGGTCACGGAGCTGGTCAGCAGTAGTGTTGGGGTCAGCGAAGTACTAGGGAAGAGGAACAGTGTGGTATCGAGGACAGTTTCCTTTTGGGGTTTGCAGAGAGGAACCTGTGGCCTAGAGCTGTGATGGGCTTGCTCCAGTTGAGAGTTTAACACGCGGCTCCGGAGGTCTGGCCCTGATTTGTATGTAGCACCCACTCCCTGAGCAGAAACCCCTAACTGTGGTTCGCTGCCCCCTGTCAGTGACGTTGCCAAGTGCCCAGTTGGGAAGACATAGCAGGGGTCACACTGCAGAGCCCGGGGACCCCGGCACCCACCGAAGGCAGCTTCGGTCAGTGGCCGGTGTATGGGGTCAAGTGTCCTTACCTGCTCCCATCTACTAGCCAGTCCCCTACATGGCATGTCTCCGACTTCAGTGGCTTCTCTTGAATAATTTGGTTTTGCAGGGACACTTGTTCTGTCACCACAGAAGGGCTCTTCTTTACTCAGACTTCCCCGTTCACTTCCCCCCCACACTTGGACACCTGATTTCTGTTCCCTCTCCACTCCCCTCCAAACCAGGGCTTCCCCTCGCACTGACACCTCATGACTAACTCCCCGGGGAGGATGGGAGCTGTGTGCAGGGCGGGGGAGGGGGCACACGCTGGCTCCTAGCCTAGACCTCAGCTGCCCTGCACGACTAGCTGTGCGACCTCAGGCACGTCGCTTTACCTGCCTGTGCTTCAGTTTTCTCAGCTGTAAAGCCGGGATACTTATACCTACCGCCACCTAATGTACAGGGGCCTCTCAAGTGCTCCCTCCTCTTAGTATTATTTCCTCCAGGGTGGCCTTAGCAGTAGGAGCATTTCCTTTGTTCCCTCTCTGTTCCTGTCCCTTTGCTGCCATAGGAAAGCCAGGACCTCTGCCCTCTACAACTGTCCGGGTGTCCTATTTGGCTCCCTCTGACACGAGGTCAGCCCCAGCCTCATTGTCCGCCTCCCCCCCCCCTCCCTGGCTGTTCTCAGCTGCCCCTTCTCCCCGTGGCCTCCGTCCATCTCCCTTAATGGAAGTAGCAGGCCCTTGGCTTTCATGACAAAGCGGGTGTGGAGGACACAGGCCCCCCAGGCTGATGGCTACTTAGCTACGTCATCTTTCTTGCAACCCCTCCTTTGGGGTCAGGTAACTTTATTCTGCCCTGGCCTTCTAGGTGGCCCAAGGGGAACACCTTGGTTTTTTCTCTTTCTAGTGTGGGGCTCAGATTAGGTGTTCCTTTTCTTCTTTTAATAAAAATCTTATCATCACTCATGTGTTATATTTGGGGGGACCCCTGCAGGAAAAGCTTAAAGATGTCACTGTCCTTGACTAAATTGTGCACGTGGAATATGGCGACTTGTCCTGAACATCCTGGGATGTGCTGCCGTTGGAACCCTTTGGCCCGCCCCCTTGCCACCTTTCTCGTCGTTCCATCCCAGCCCTGGTCCCTGGGATGGGTGGGAGGCGCCTGGTCGAGACAGAGATGGCTGACCCTGCGTTATTTCTCTAATCCTTGGGTAAAAATTCCTCCCTCCCCCAGCAAGACGATTGAGTGCGATGACCCATCTCCAAGGACAGCATTCAGTGAGCTACAGCGGCTTCCTCACTGTGAACAAGACTTACAACAGCAACATTTACTTCTGGTTCACTCCAGCTCTGGTAAGCCTGCAACAGCGCCCTAACGGAACACGGACACTCAAGGGCAGAGGATGCGGCTACAGGGTAGAAATGTTAGCCTATAACGAAACTAAGGGTGTGTGTGTGTGTGTGTGTGTGTGTGTGTGTGTGTGTATTAGTTATCTTTTTCTAAAAATAAGTGTCAGTGACTCTGTCGGCGCTCAGCTTTGGAATTCCTTGCAGCCTTATTTGGAATATTTATCCTACTACCATCTTCCTGCCATTGTCTTCTTCCTATCTTTTTGTTGTTTTCTTAAAAAAAAAATACCTGGGGTAGTGGGGAGATTCCTAAAGTTCACAGGTAATGCATATCCAAACACATCTAAATCTAGTTGATTGTGGTCTTGCATGGTTGCTCTATTTGTGGATTTTGCTGGGCCAATTAATATTCCCACATTCACTTCTTCATATATCTAGTACCCATTAATTAAGCAGTACTCTGTGGGACACAGAGGAGAGGGAACTGAACCCATCCACTCTGGGCTTTTAGGAGAAGGGTGGGGAAGAGTGGTAATCCAGGGTGGCTTCCTGGAGGAGGGGGCCGCTTACCTTCTGAAGTCCATAACAAACACAGGTAGGTGTACTCTTGTTCTTTACCAATCCTCATAAGCTTACTTCAAAGTCACATAGTTCTTCAGCATGAACAAATCATTTCAGGCTTATGGGTATTGGTTGGAGGTATTGGTAGAGGTGCTGAGATGCATAAATAAATGTTAGCCCACCACAGGGTAATTTTCTATTATTTTCCAAATTGGATTTGCTTTAGAACCCAGAGAAAACAATGAAAAAGCTGCCCCTGTGGAGGGTGGTATTTATAATTGCATGTGGTTTGCATATAGCTGTCTACGTATTTCATGACTGGGTAAATTGCTTAATCCAGGATGGTTCTCAGATTAAATTGCTTCTGTTTGGTACTGTTGGGTTATATATATTTTTTGACCTCTCGTTTTTGCTTTCCCAACCATGGCCTCTAACATGATTCAGTACTTGTTTGTGGGAGGGGAGCCATGTAAGAAATGGGAGGAATTCTAGATACTTCTTGGTTGGGCTCACAGCAGCGTTCAGGCTGTCAACCAGCCTCTCCAAGACCCTGGGGGGGGGGGGGTTCTTATTCCTTCCTGCTAAGTGAGGCAAGTGAGGAGCCTAGAGCACAAAATCTGAGGAGGGACTCACCCTCAGGGTGGTTCAAGAGCAAGCCTGGCCCCTGACTGTCCAGCAGGCTCCTGGGTGGAGCCTAGCTGGAACCCAGGAGGGTGAGGGAGTCCCTTCCACAGAGGTCTGCCTTCCAGGGCACAGAGCAGAGAATGGACCTCCTAATGCAATCAAGAAAACATCCAAACATCCAGTACAACTGTCTTAAGGAGACTTGATATACATTAAATCTAGACACATGAACCAAATCCTAACAGGCAGACATTTTCCTTGTGTTCTTGGAAGCCCCTTACACTTTCATGCCTTTTGGAAACCATAGTTTCCGAAGTGCATCCTCACATGCATTGCTTTGGCTGACTCCATAGTCACTTGGCCTTCTCTGACTCTTGTCTTTTGCCTCTTTTTCTATACTGAAGGACCCTCGTGATTCCACTGTGCCCACCTGGATAATCCCTGGACACTCTCCCCTTGTGCAGGCCAGTTGACTAACAACCTTAATTCCATCTGCAACCTCAATTCCCCTTTGCCACGGTGCTGAACCTATTCACATGTTCTGGGGAGTAGGATCTAGACATCTTTGGTGGTCATTATTCTCTGCAAAGTAGAAGTTTGCTGAGATTTGTGGTTCTCTATATGTTCTCTCTCAGTGAGTCTCACATTTTATTGCATTTGAGAATTATCTCCGAATCCCACCAGGGATTCTGCCCTGAAAGTGGGAGAAGTAACAGGTAGGGCACGCTTGAGAAACTGTCACTACAGCCCAGGGGCCAATGGCCCTGCATTCAGTGTCCTGACTCCAAAATGGTCCATGATGCTTTTTGCCAGAAAGAAACACCTAGAGCAGGCCAACCCAGATGGAAGTGGTCTTGTCTGGTGCGTGCACCTGCGATGGTGGCTGGAATGAGGGGTGAAGAGGCGCATGCAGCCTTTGGGGATCAGCTCCCCCAGTCCTGCTCGGTTTCCCTCTAAGGGCTCCTGGGCCTCGGCCTCCACTGCACTCGGTCACCCCCACCCCACCCCACCCGCCTACACCCCGACCCCACCTCGCGTGAGAAATCCGGTTCTTTACTTTCTCTTCTGCTTTGATGGCTGTTATGACACCAATAAGTTCCTCAATGATATCTGCATAGTGAGTCTTCTTTAACAACGGCCCTGATTTGTGAAAACAGAAATTAATGGTGAGGGAAGTGACCTTTTGTTTTAACAACAAAACAAAGACCCAGTCGTTTCTTTCTTAGGTTGCCCCTGAGCAGGTGAACCGCTTTGTCTATGTTGTAGGTGACGCAGTGGGATGGTAAAGCTGGTCAGGGCAATGGGCCCAGGTCCTGCGCCCTGTCCCAGCTGCCGGACTGAGGTGCGAAACCCACACCACCTGCATCACACACTGACTCACATGTTGGGGTTCCCCTCTTAATTAAATGAGAACCTAGCTGCCCTTCCTCTGACCAGATTATGTTTTAGGGGGACCGATAACATAGTCCTTAAACAGATTCAAGGCCATCCCAAAAGACATACACACAAGGCCACCGTGCCAGGGAAGAAGCGTAGAGTGTTCTATTGGGAATGATGGACTAAACTTCAGGGGAGAGAAGCAGGGATGAAGAGACAGTGCTGCTTACAGCTGTCACCTTGTGGCAGCCGGGGTAGATTGTTCCAAGGCCTCCTTACCCAGGGCCCACCTGCAGAGACAGGTCCCCGAGGCCCCAAAGCAACCATTCCTGCCAAGTCAGTTGGGTTATGAATTATGGAAGTGGCCATTTTGGGTAAAGGAGGTAAAGCAACGTGAGAAGGAGAAGCAGTGGTTGCCCAGATGGGGGAAGAGTTCCTTTTATTTGGCAGGAATATTAACCCATTGCTTGTCTCAGGGAAGCAGCTGATACTGTCATTAGGAGAGAAATGACCCTTTAGGAAAACTGAAAGCCGAGAAAATAAGAGATCCAGGAAGGATGCCACATTTGTAATATCCTCTGAATATTTTGGGGGGCTGCTATTTCTCCAATTAGTTTTCCTGTTATTTCTGTGAGACTCCCCTTTTATTGTATACACATCAGGGCATAATGGATTCTAGAGCTTGAAGTTGGTGTGCAGTGGGGATGCAATCTGCAAGAGAAAGGAAGAGGCATTTTGCATGGGATAAAAAGTGCTGATATAATGAAGCCAATAAAAGTGTAACAATTATAATAGCTGTTGTTAATTGAACATTGACTCTGTGCTAAACACTACATTTTCTAGTTAATCCTTACAATAACTACATGAGGAAGGAATTATTATCCTCCTTTTAGAGATGAAGAGAATTACAGAGATTAAGTAATGAATCTTCCATTGCCCAAGAAGACATGGACAGGACTGGAATTTAAAGCTAGACACGGGTCAGAGAAACCTGTGCTCCTGATCGTCCCAGTGACCCCGAGAGAACTCGTCAGGGAAGGCACTGAAGTCCGTGAAACTGGCATAAAACCTTGGCTTCACTCCTTGGGCCAGATGGGACCTTGGGCACGTTTTCTGAACTCCTCTGAGCATTGGTTCCCTGGTTTTAAAATGAGGATTAAACACCTACTTGGCAATGGCTTTGACAGCAATGAGACACTGTGGGAAAGCCCTTAAATGGGCGCCTGATACGGAAGAAGTACAGTTGCTGTTGTTAGCATTTCACTGCTATCACTATCATTATCATTTTTCGTTATGAACCTAAGTACCGTACAGAGCCAAGCCAGTCACAGTTTAGGAGGTTAAAGAAGATGGGAAGTAGGCGGTGATTACAGAACAGAAGTAGCTGGCTGCCAGGCAAGCCTGTGGGTTCATTGCTACTAGGTAAGGAAACTACGAAGTGAAATTGGGGTTTTCACATTGAAGAAGGTAAAGATATATAGATTATTATTTTTTAAAATTAATATCCTTCTCCTTGGAAAAGTATATCCAATATTTGACTTTCTTGTAGGAATATAGGTAATTCGTTGGATGCATTTAGTCAAAATCTTCAAATTATTTACCTCAAATGTCATGGAGTCAAAACCTGAGATGTTTAGAGTTGGGCCTCAGCCCCTTCACAAAGGGCCCCATCTTGTCCCTCTGGCTGAAAGGAATGGCTGGGATTCCTGGAGTCTGAGTAGCTGGTGACTGAGAAAGGTCAATATCTTATCAAAGAGTTAGAAAGGCTGGGATGGGGTGAGGCATGGGGCCCCTGGAGGTGACATTTGAGGTGCTCCCTCCCTTTCAGGATCATGCAGGTGCTAAACCTGTTTAATCAGAGAGCAGGAACATCGGCAGGGCATGGGGTTAGGCTAACACAGCCCGCGAGTCCGCAGTTGGGTGCAAGGCCGATGCAGAGGCGTTCTCTCTGTGAGCGGGAGCATGTGTCCCCTAAGAGTGCCCAGCAGCCGGCAGGAAAGCCTCCCTCATCCCCCCGCTGCAGGGGTGAAGGTACGGAACCAGGCTCCAGTTCTTCAGTAGCAGTCGAGATGCTGGGGTACGGTGGCTCCCAGCCTGGCAGCTGCTCCTTAGAAAAACCTGGGGAGCATTACAAATAGGACAGGTGCCCCAGCTCTGTGTCCAGCCCCTCGCACAGATTCTGAACCAGCAGGTGTGGAGAGGGCCCAGGGATCAATATTTCTAACACACATTTCTAACAGCAGTTCCAGTGCAGCTAGCCGGTGGACTTGACTTCAGGAAGAGAGAAGTAGAAGTCAGGACCCCAGGATTCTAGTTCTGTGTCTGCAGTCCCTGGCGGCCCCCTTCGGACATAGTATTCATAGTCTCTGGGCCTCAGTTTGCTCGTATAGAAGTGGAGATGTGAAACCTAGTTGATTTCTAAGGTCCCTTCCCAGTCTTAC